GTTCCTAAACCCTCACCCAGAAACAAGCCCTGAGTGTTGATTGAGACTCGTTGTGACGGCTGTTATTCTTGTAGTTGTTGTTGCTGTTATTGCGCCCATTTATTTGCTTCAGGTTGTGGGTGATGATGAGACAAAATCGCAATATGCTCGTCGCCAGGAACGACGAGCCTCTGGACAGGAGTTGGGAGGTTGCAGGAAGCTTGAAGAAAGTCTTTGAACTCCGAAGATCTGCTGGGCCACAACCAACCTTGTGGGGCGTCTTAGGAGATGATGTGATACGAGTCTGCACTCCGTTCACCTTACCATCGTCGGCCTTGTTCCTGTTCCCATCCCCATGGTCATCCTCACACTGAAGCAGAGAACAAGAGAGAGAAGAGACCACACAGACCCCACACAAGTACAAAAACCACTCTGCGACAGACACACATCACCCCCCCAGCCCACAACAACAGCATGCGCTATACTCATGAATGATACCCCGTTCCCACTCCCAGATGCTTTCACTTTCCATAATAGGGACCCACGCAGCATTTCTTCATTCAGTGATTTCCGTACCGTCTGGCTGATATCCCATATAACTCATCATGAGACCAAACCGTGCGACAAGAGGTCCACAGAGCTGTCCTTCCCAGAGTCCCTCCGTGTAGGACTGACGGCGAGACGAACCGTGGAACCAACCATGCGATGAGAAGTGCATAAGACAATCCCCTGTAGCTTGTCCCACCGTGTTCTCGCACGAGCCGTCCAATATGCCGTTTCCATGTCATCGTGTCCGCAGTATCAAGAAAGTATCACTACCGTAGTTCCCGAAGAGCCCCTTCGATTCCATGTTACTTACCGCCTTCCCAGAACAAAAACCCGTTTCAACGCAAGAAAAATGAAAGAAAAAAAAGTAAAATACATGAACTACACCATGCATTCATCGGTCCAGGTCTTCATTTTGTAGATCCATAAATGATACTGCCAATTGCCAGTACACTCGACCCGCATATTTACGTATATACTTGAGATGATCAGATCACTTTGAACCAAATTCAGTAGGTCACAACCAGTCTTGGTGGGAGTCCGTCCGTAGAGTCCGTCCGTACGTTCATCTGTCAGTTTTACCCAGAGAAGACAGTCGAGAAAGGATGGTCAAGATCGATCCTAGTCCGATAAACGGCCAAGAAGCCAGCATGCCGTCTAGAAAGGACGGCCAATATCCGTCCATACGTTCATCTGTCCGTTTAACCCGAGTCCGTCCATACGTTCATCTGTCAGTTTTACCCGAGTCCGTCCATACGTTCATCTGTCAGTTTTACCCAGAGGAGACGGTCGAAAAAGGACGGTCAAGATCGATCCTTGTCCGATACGGTGAATGGTAAATGGCCAAGAAGCCAGCACGCCATCTAGAAAGGACGGTCAATATCCGACCATACCTTCATCTGTCAGTTTTTCCCGAGTCCGTCCATACGTTCATCTCTCAGTTTTACCCAAAGGAGACGGTCGAGAAAGGACGGTCAAGATCGATCCTTGTCCAATACGGTGAACGGTAAATGGCCAAGAAGCCAGCACGCCATCTAGAAAGGACGGCCAATATCCGTCAATACCTTCATCTGTCAGTTTTTCCCGAGTCCGTCCGTACGTTCATCTGTCAGTTTTACCCAGAGGAGACGGTCGAGAAAGGACGGTCAAGATCGATCCTTGTCCGATACGGTGAACGGTACAAAACGACGGAGCCAACACGGTGTCTACTAGTGAACCATCGTACGGAGGCCAAACCGAAAATGCATAAAGGCCACAGCTCACATAAAATGTGGCATTAGCTCGATACAAGAGGCACAAAGCCACAGATTATTTGGGAATGCACAGCCATCCTTTCAAAAATAAACGGAGAAAGAGAATCACAAGGCACATACAACAAATGCCTTTCGCTCATCGGAAGCCGGTTTCACACACAAGCTTGCATTCTCCATCAAGCGAGTAAGAAGACATGGCGGAGAGAATGCGACGTCCACTCTGATGGCATGGATAGACAAGGAAGGATGCAGAGTACACATCTTCCGAAAGCGCCGTACAATCCGTTCCGTGTGCGTGTGAAGAAATGTCCGGGCGTGATGTATGTTTGGATTCCGTGAAGCACAGCGAACGCAGACAAAAGGATGAGAAGAACACCCACTATCCATTTCAAACGGAGAGAGAAATACGGAAAGGCTATGAATTAATTCCCCCACTCGCATGATGCATACGATCATAGATTGCGACCGTGAATTCGAGAAGGCATGGAAAGTAAGGTGAAGAAGGCTAGGCTTCCTCTTGCGCATTTGCGAACCCCGCTCAACAGTTGACTCCCCGTGAAATACAAATGAGAAAAAGGAGGAGCAGGTCACACGATTACAAGTTGACAACAACAAAAAAACGCAGATTGCAAACAAGCCGATGATATCCGAAGAAGAACCGGCGGGCTCATAACACAGATAAAAAAAACGCAGATAAAGACAAAATGAACACCCACCACTTGCACACACACATACACACAAATTACCCCACCAGCCATGCCAAAGAAGCAGCATCGTTAAATACAAGTTCTGACATCCTGAGGAACAAGGTCCATATTGTAGTCTTTTATATAGATATAGTAGGTACACGATCCTTCTTTTTTTTTTCTTTTTTTTTTTTTTCTGGCATGATCCTACGATGATTCATCGTCCCCATAAGATACTTCAACCTCATTTACCTCAGTTGGCTTCATCACCGTTTCACTTCGTTTCAGATTTGAATCCATTTAACTTCACTTTAACTCTACAGTCTTCCCCCAAACAAAACGCACGTGGGTTTTCTACGAGTAGAACGCACCGGGAATCCATTTAACTTCACTTCAACTCTACAGTCTTCCCCCAAACAAAACGCATGTGGGTTATTCATATACAACGCACATTGAATCCATTTAACTTCAGTTTTTTTTTTTATATAGTTTTTATATTTTTAACTCGAGTTTGGTTAAAACTTTGATTATATATATGTATTATCAACAGAACTGCACCCCCGGTCTGCTTGGTAAACCGTAGGCAGAGAGGGAGAAGAGTACAAAAAGTGAGGGGCTGCGACAAACTGTTTCGTCGGAGTTTCACCGAACACATCAGTCCATTCTTTATTTTTTTATTTTGGATATCTATAAAGCACAATTACATTATCACAACAATATAATACACTAAGATAGTTTTGTGCTTTTTTTTTTTGCTTTGCCAAGTTTGATTGTGAATGTCTCTAGTAGACTCTCTGTAGTAGCACTTTTCAACCACCAGTACCTCGCTCAGCTATCAAGTCCGAGGCTCGGACTACCGATAGCCCGATTGTTCCCGAGCCTCAAACTTTATTGCCGAGCCTCGGACAACCGGTAGTACATAACGGAAAAAGAAAAAAAAGAAAAAAACACCAAAAACATACAACATTCTGCAAAAAAAAAAGAAAAGGAAAGCAGACAAGCCCAATGAGAGTGAATCTTCCTCGATAACGAGGGAGATTCATTCTCGTGGGAGGTTGAGAGAGAGAGAGAGAGAGAGAGAGAGAGAGAGAGAGAGAGAGAG